AGACTTTGTCGTTAGCTTCAAAAATACCTATATCCAAAGTTTCCATATAATTCTTGATATTTCTTGGACATTTCAAAAATACCTTTTGAGTAACTATCTATTAATATTTGAATGAAACGTTCGACATAACATAATTTAGGATGATGTGACAATCAAGATGGAAGTTTGCTGGATTTCCTACACAATTTTGTCACGGTCTCCTCTTAAAAATAGATAGCTTATTCTACATTCACTCTATTTTTAGATTTAATCCCGTCAAACTTACACGTTAATTGTCACATCAATCCATATTCTGTCATATCAATTTTTCGTTCAACATATTAACGGATGTTTGTTGAGGGGTATTTGTAAATAGTAGTATTGACACTTTGGAAATGTTATTTGTGTTTTTTCAAAACAAAGGAAAAATTAGAGATTTTTTAAAAATATATATATATATTAAGCTAATGTAAACTAATTGAAAGAAAATTCAAAACTAAAATAATAATTTAACCCAAAAAAAAAAGGTTGAGTGGAATACTCGGAATGGTCCGGGGAGACGCCTTGGAAGAAGACACTGGTTTTGGCAGGATCCACATTTTGGTCCACCCATCGAGCCCAAGTTGTCAGCCCTTTCTCAAACGCAACCACACGATTCATGTCCTTGTACGTGCCTTCACCATCTTGAATCAAATCCCATCTGCACCCCAAAAAACAAAAAAAATTAATATTAAAAGAAAAATCAGTTAATTAAATGTTGTTGATCATACGGTTGCTTTCTCCCAGTGTGCAGCCACCAATGCCACGAATTGAAAACCAACACGTCAGCTTCTTTCCACGTATTTGCAGTCTCAATGGAGTCGAGTTTGAGGATTCTCCCCATTCTCGTGCCTATAATGTCCACCAGAAATGCATTTCTAAGGAACATGATCTTCAACTCGTATTCCTACACAATTAAATCATTTTTGTTACTTCAATTAAATATTAATCAGACATATATCAGGCAAAAGTAGATTAATTAACATATGGTATTGTATTGGCTCACGGGAAATATGAATTTGGACAATCCTCCGATTCTAGTAAGAGTGTAAGTAGCTTGCGGAACAGACATGTGGAGCATACACGTGAGCGATTGCCACTGATTCAAACTCAACGAGTCTCCCACGAACATTATGGTTTTTCTTCTGAATTTCCTCATGAATTCTCCACCATTGAATCTGCACCAACAAAATTCTCGCTATTTTTATGTTTGAGCATGTTTTATATTGGTATCTACCCGCTTGTAATTTTCAATAAATATAAGCATTTAGTAATTCTTCTTTTTCAACAAAATCAAGTATATTGTTTATTGTTTTTTTTTTAATTTCTTCTAAAAACATAAATACAAGCATTATTTTTTTTTGGGATTTAAAATGCATAATAAAAGTTAAAAAAATAAAAATAACATCAAACTTTTTGAAAATTTAAAAATCATAGAAAATTTATACTTTTTTAAATCTAAAATTTTAAAGTATTATCCATAAAAACGATTGAACAATAAACAATACACAATTAAAAAAAGATATAATTTTATTTTTTTAATTAAAAATAAACGAGAAAAAAAAACATAAAAATAAAAAACGAGAATATTACGAAATGCGAGGGATTTTCATTATTATTTTAACATAAATTTGCGGTGTTATCTCTCCTTGTATGGAAGGGATGACAAAGGCAACCTAACAACCTATCATCTAAGGTTGTTGTACCCTCTTTTACATGACAAATAGAAGGGAATTAATTGGTCGCAAGAAAAAATATATGTAAATAAATAATGAAAAAGCACTCTCAGCCACACAATTGGAATTGGGAAAATTGTTTTTCATTTTCAAAATGGAAAAAAAAATTTGAAGTTTGAATCTTCATGCTCTGTATCATTGTTAACTATAATATATATAATATGTAATTATCTATTTCCGAGAAAAGGAAGTTTAAAAAGAGAAAATTCAGATACGTAAGGTCGAGACTGGATAAAGGGAAAAAAAATTAAAAAGGAATATAATTAAAAATCACTCTCCCACACACAAGTGGAATTGGGAAAATTGCTTTTCATTTTCAAAATGGAAGATTCAAATGTTAGATTGGCCATTCTATCTACAGCAGAATTGGTTAATATGTCCAATTACACATTAAATATTGGATTCAAATCCACTCTCTCTCAATCATGAAATAGAAATACATAGAGATATATATAATGTACAAATCATAATAAAGATAATATATTCCAAAAACTAAAGAATCCAATATCCATTTCCTTACAAAGAGATCAATCGATATATTTATTATACCAATAATATAATAATTAATGCGAACATAAATATTAATTATAAAGAATTGAAAATTCATAAATACAAAATCATTTTTATGAAATTTTCATAGAAACTTGGAAATCTCCCCATACAACTCATCATAGGAGAAAAAATTCAAATAATGATAGAGATATTATTATTATTATTATATAAGAAAAATGAGTGAAATGCATGTATGTAATAATTGATAATTAGTATCAACAGGAAAAATTCTTATTAAAAAATGAATGATTATTCTTTTTTTTTTTTAATTTCAATTTTTTCTAATTTAAAAAAGAAAAGATTGAGCTGTGAATTTTATAATAATAATCAACTTAAAGATAAAGTGCTGAATTGTTCATTCAACAATTCCAAAAATCTCCTCCAAATATGAAGTCATACAGAGTTCAGTGTCGAAATAACAAGAAACTTTTGTATAAAAACTAGTGATTGAAACTTCAAAATATGCTTCTTTATATTACCAGAATCTCAATCTCAACAGTTTTCTTGGGAAAATAAAGAAATCAAGAAACAAAATTTTAAAATAGAAAAAAGAAAAGAAATGAAAGAAGGAAGTGAACCTTGGCAAGAGGCAGCGAGAGGGCTGCCATCGGTATCTGAGATAGAGCTGATCGGGGCGGCCATTTCCGAGGCAGTTAAATTCCTTCTCTATAAATGGACAACTAGACGACGCGTCGTAAAGAGGGTACGACGAGTCGGCCACCCACCGCCCTTCAAAATAATCGCACCCATGAGCTTGATGAACAGCAGCCGCAGCCAGAAGAAACAGAGCAACAAAAATTTCAGAGCCACGCATTTGAATCTTCAGCCTTGGGAAAATGGGTGTAGAAGGAAGAATGGAATCTCGTATTTGTATACAAGAAAAATGAAAAATGAAAAATGGTTGTCAAGTTCATTCATGTACCAATCACTGGGATTAATGGACTGTCTAATTAATTATATTCTTGGATTATATGGTAAGTGAAATTGTCACTTGTATAATATGGATTATGATTTGTCTTTTTTATTTTTATTTTTTTTTGTTTTGTTTTTATTTGTGGAGTTGAGTGTCAGTTACAACAACTTCTTCTGTCTTCTCTTCGTTCTTTCATTTTCTTGTTCTATTTATTCAATCCCATGCTAATTCCTACTTATGGAAGGAAAAGTTTAGATAATGAAGAACCATTAATTTTGGTTCTACTTCTTATTGGGTTTTATTTTAACATTTTGTTTAAAATATAAGTTTTTCTATGTAAAGTAAATCGCTCATGGTATGATATTGCAAGTGTTTTTGTTTAATAAAGTGAGGGGTATGAGTGAGAAATTAAAAGAGGAGGCATATTCTAATGGTGCTAAAATTTACAAGCATTTGACATTTATGAGTTATGTGATGCTTTTGTCAAAGTGACCGACAATCTACTAATCTACTGAGAAAAATAAAAATAAAAAAAGCTAATGATACAAATAAAGGATCCTTATTATCACCTACATGTTTCTTTATTTATTAGAATGAAAAGTTGGATAAATATTGAGTTTTAGAGTAAAAAAAAAAAACACTATTGAAAGTGATCCAACAATAACCTACTACTCCTCCCTACCATTTTAGATATATCATTAATTTTCTTATCTATTTAATGCATGGGATGGTTATGAAAATAATAATTACATTATGCTAAACTACTTAGTCTACAATGATTAGAGGGGAGGGAGAAGTACTAAAAAAAAAGGAAAAGATGAGGGAGAAATTTCTCATGAAATTACGATTAAATATAAAGTCGTTATGCAAGACTATGTGATTAGCTAGAATATGTTAAAATATGAGAGATAAAAAGTGTAGAGTGGTTGAAGATGCTCGACGTAGACATCTATGAGTAAAGAATATAAGATGTATATATTAATATCAATTTAGTCCATCTCAGAATATAAATTTTATACAAATACAAGTAGTAGTATTAAAAAGTTATCTATGATGTCAAACGGAATATAACTCAAGTGGTTAAGACACCTATCTCTGACCAAAAAGTTATGAGTTCGAACTTCCACTTCGCATGTTGTAAACCAAGCATCCATGGCAAAAAAACTCACATAGTTCTCGACATAATTTTCAACCTACCATGTCCCTTAATTTTGTTCCCAAAGAAGTTGTTACCACACATAGTTTAAGGTGATTTCCCTCAGCCACGCCAAAAATTATAGAAGTAGAATTGATACTTAAATATAACATATAGACCAATTTCAGATACAAGTTGGATATAAAACCATCATATAACATAGCAATAGCCAAAAGCCCAATTTCCAGCAACAACATTGTACAAAGCAGGACATTACAACAAACAAGATACACATATACTTTGACAGTAATCCATATTTATTCATAAGTATCTTGTAGTTCTTGGGTATCCACCTATAGGCTGTATGGATACAAAGACACTGGATGGTATAGATCGGGTGTGGTTTGAGCATACCATATATCTCACGTGTTTGTATGCCTTTGACAAAAACAATTCTCAGAATTTCGGTAGAGTAATCCGCAGCAATCCATCCCTACACCGACAAAAAAAAAAAAAAAAGAAGACGAAAACAACAAGCCACTAATAAGCATTTAAGGTATAAAATAACGGGTATGGAAATGAACAGTTTGGCTATTTGTCATACAAATCCATGAGCGAAGGGTAAAAAAAATAGAAAGATAAAATGCATGGCAGACGTGAATAATTAGCATCATGAAAGTACTGGGTCAGAAAGCATGAGGTTGAATAAATTGTCTTGCTACTTACCAGAACTCAGCTGATACTCCGTCCTTGTTAATGTTGATCGGAAGTGGCCACACCACTTGGTAAGGTCCTTGTAAAATCTCTCTCTTGTGATATGAACGGATAGATTCTCTTGAACATCCTACCATTTCATGGTATTGATTTGAGCGTTTGCCGATTATGGTCAACCTGCAAGAGAACAGCATTTCACCATCATATCAATGCCATTATATGGTCATTTAAACTTACTTATGTTTTATGATCCAGTAGTTATTTAGCAAGCTATATATCATATAGAAACTATTGAATTTGAATTGTTTCTTCCGTATTCTGTTAGGATGACAAGTTCCCTAACATCCTAATTTCGTCTAGAACAGGGATTTTTTCTTAAGAAATGATTAAAATAACCCACGGGGCTGAGGATGGTAGGGGCATAACTTAAATCCACCCCATTTCCATTCCTATAATATCAGTAGTCCATGTACAGCCTATAGGTCTCATGCTAACATTCAAGCTTATTCTTATCTTCATCTAATAGCTTGAACTTTAGCTTGAGTTTGATGATATCGAACAACCTATGAACTTAGGGTTAACTTAAACATTGTGATCAGTAGGACATCCTGACTAGTGTCATTTTTACTTCAATATTTAAATCCAAATCCAGTGTGTTGAAAATAAATAAATGAATAAAATTACAATAGCTTGTAAATCTAGTGATAATTTAGCACATGGAAATTAAGATTTCAAATGCTTTTTAGTGTAACTTTCAGGGAGACTTAAGAATATGCAGTTGAATCAGATAGTTCTGAACATTGGGGAGGATTAATAATTGAAAAGGTACAAGATCTGAATACCACATTTAAAACTACAAATTTTAAAGTATCTTTATAAAAAAACATTGTCTTACTTTTGATCATCGACCTCAACTCTGATGTCATTGATCTTGACTCCTGGAATTTCCACGGTTAGTACATAACCTCTACCTGATTCTGCCACATCCATCCTCGGAGAACATCCACCAATTCCTGTGTTAAATAAGAACAGTGGAAGTAAGTTTTAAAGCACTTTCGATTCTCATTAAAAAGGAAGAAGTAAAATCTCAGTGGCCAAGGGCCTGCCAAGGTGCTTTATACTCGTTTATCAATTATCAATTGGGAAATCAATAACCAACCATTTGATCCAGAGGATGGCTGCTTTGTCTCCGAAACGAAATGGTTGTTATGTTCACTGATTCCAAAGCATGCCCTGGCAAACAATGGAGGTTCAGACGCAATTAAATTGAAATTCTGTGCCACGGGCTGTTCTATTCCAACACCCGGAATCCTTCCCTCCGTTGCAGGTCTTGAATATAATGGTCCTTCATAAGCATCCAGGGACGCTTGAGAATTAGATCTTTGATTACCCTGATATATATTCTTCAAAAAAGAAGTCAGAGGAAAAGAAAAAAAAAAAATCAGGTCTCCATAAATAGAAAGTAAAATATAATGAAAGAAATATGATGTCAAATCAAAAATGGATTAGGTAAATTTAGTTTCTTAACATAAAGCACCTCTGTAATCGAAGCCTGCCTCATATAAGCACCACAAGACTCGGATCCTTGCCGCGCAAAGAACATCCTGTTATCGCACCTTCGAATGACAGAGCTTCCATAGCTACTGCAATTCTAATCACCCAAAACCAAAAAAACGATGATCGATCGAGCAAATCCAATCCAGAAACTAACAAAATGAGCACCGGGAAACATGAAATGAAGTGTACAGCAGAAATTTCTGCAATAACCCCGCTCGATCTAATTCTAAACCCACAAAAGAAAACGGTTCGCCGGATTTAATGAAAGAAAGATAAACAGAAGAGTACCGCGGGGAGAACGTGTGCGTGAGCAGCGGAAATATCACCGGCAGGAGCAAGGTGGGCGGCGATCATGTCGAGTCTGCGTTTCCCGGCATGGTTCTCCATCGAAAAAGCGCCGAAAAGCTGGAGAAAATAAAACCCTCTGATAAAACTGTAGCAGTTTCTGGAGAAGACTGAAAATGCGTTTGTAGTGTTTAATAATTGGCGCGCGCAGGTTGAGGAGTAGGGAGAGAGGAGATTTTTTTAACTTAATTATGATGGGACGGTTGTGGGACCCATTAGGATAAACAAAAGTCTTGGTTTGAAGACGTACTGTTGCCACGTGAGTGAGGAGGCAAAATATCAGCCGTAGATATTATCTAATCACGTCATTGTTGTCTGATCTTCGCATGAGAGGACTGTAGTGGTCAAATGATTTAAAATATATTTCATATATCTCTCTCTCCTCCCGAGGAACCTTTTTTTTATTATTTTTAATTATATAATTTTTAACTTTTGGGCCTGGAAATTGACTGAATGGGCCCATGATTGCTTCGGTCATGGATCCTGTCGATGTCTAACCATGGCCCGGCCCAACTTAGGTTGAACAAGTAAAACGGGTGAAAATTTAAAATATTATCCATTCGAGCTACAATGAAGATTTTCTTTTTTACCTTCATGATTGTTGAACTCATACACACACAAACACATATATATATATATTTTTATTATTATTTGATGCACCGTAGAGCAATAAGCTTATGATTCAGCCAAAACGAAAAATAAAAACATATACAATTTTCAAAAAATATATATATATATATATTTTTTATAGAAAAAGGATTCAGTTGCACCTTGCCTCGTATAATTTGACACCCTTCATTGTCTGATGTTTTAAATGTCAATATCGATTAACGTATGTTAAAGTCTTAATTTTATAAAAATGATAACAAAGATATTGATAAAATGTATATTTATATTTCTGGAAAACAAAAATTATAGACATAATTAAATTAACAAATAAGAATTTAACTATTTTTAATTTTTTTAAAATATCTTATGGTTAATATTATTTACATATATTTTGTTTATGTTTCTTTTATATTTTATCGAAAATTTTGAGATACTATAGAACTATTGTTCCCTCCTTTGTGTTTATGTCAAATCTATAAACATACAATTTGAATATTAATTATCCAATAGCTAATATATAATATTATAATTTACCATTTGATTTTTTATATCAACATAAATATACAGTAATAAAAATATTTTTACATTTTTAATAAATGATTTTTATTAATTAATTGCATAAAAAAATATAATTCTTAAAAATAAAAAATTAAAAACATACTTATTTTTGGCTAATTTGTAAATTATTAATACTAAATTTGTAGTGAAGCCCTAGACGAAACTGCTCGATCTGCTATTGTGTTCAATTATATCTTTTTTTGAGATGATCTTAGCCTCTTTCTTTTCTCTTCCCCTCTCCCAATATGTTAAATAATTAATATATTTATGCTTAACAATTCAAATGGATTTTAAAGAGTTTATTCGATATATAGATGAAAATTTAATAACAATTTTATGCTCGAAATGTATGCTTGTTTTTGTTTGTGAGCAATCCCTGTTTTTTAGTACAATGTCAATTTATGCTTTGTGTGCAAGCAATCAATATATTCTATGTTGATTTCCCATCGTGATCATCTTTTTTTTTTCCAAATTGTGATAATCTTTTTCCAAATCGATTGTGTTTCTATTGACAAATGATAATAAAAGCAAACTACTTCACATATCGATATATATTGGGATAGATTTTGAAGTAGTGTTATATTTCTAAAATCATATGGATTATTCTGAAACATTACTTTTACCAATTAAAGTGAGTTCGGGACAAAAGAGATATTATAATTATGTCAAAATTAATCTCAAACATATACTTATTTAATATTTCTTTTGAAGTTTTATCCCTCCATACTTAAAAGTCCACGAATCTTCAAGTATCATATTTAGTACAATTAATTTTTTTAACAACATAATAAATGTGGTATTATTATTTTATTTTTATTTTAGTAAGAATGATGAGTAGTTTATGTTGTTATTGTTATATTACGTGATAAATGACCATTGAGAATAGTTTATAGTTGATATATTATTTTGTAATTTATCGTGGTTATAATTATATGATATATATTTTCGATCAAAATGTCATATGTTCCAATTTTCTCGGTCTTCTTTATGTAAGTTGTGTAGTACATAGAATTTTGTTGGATTTACAAAAATATTTTAAAAAATTAAAAATCAAAAGGTAATTTTTTTGCTTGAAATATACTCAAAGACAAAGCTCTCACCCGTAATGAACAATATATTGCTATAAATGGTAGATCAAAGTTGTAACCATGGCTTGATTAGAACAACGTCAACTTAACCTGCACATATTGATAAAATAACTAACTAACTCACTTTACAAATTACTATGGGATGGTTTCACGATTGTTAAATAGACTAAACTATAACTTGCAAAAGTACCTGAGAGTCTCGATGATTCTATGACAATCCAATGTGAAACAAATCTCTCGTATTCATCTTACATAATATTTAAAATCACAATTCATATTTTTTCGAGTATTAGGTATAAGAAAACGAAATAAACTAATAGACTAGACCTAAATCAATAAACTGAAACCAGAACCAATAAGATGCAAAAAATGACACAAAGAAAGCGTATGTCTTTTATCAGTGCAGTTACAATATCAATATACAAGTTCAATTTGTAAACATATTTGATTATATGTTAATCAAATTAAAAAAAAAAAAGTGTATACCTATCTTAACTCTATTCATAACAAAATACAACTCAAATGGTGGGTCATCTCTATATAAATTGATAGATATTGAGTTGTTTTTCACCCATCTATGAGATTATACATACAAATTGTATTAATATATCTCAAAGGTTCAAAACATAAATAACTTCCTCTTTAATTTATATGTTTTATTATTTGTTTTAATAAGTATATAAATGTTTTAAATTATCTCGTCAACATACGAGTATAGTTTATTGGTCAAGATATCTTGCTCATTTCATAAAAGTCGAAGGTTCAATCCCTCATCTACAATTCATTGTACTTAAAAAATAAAAAAACATTCACTCAAAATTTCATGCCCAAATCAAGGTGCACTTTTATCAATATTTTTATTAAGATATTTATTTATTTTAAGTTTATGTCATTTCACCTCGCATGTTTTATGTATATTAGTTATATGAAAAGTATTGATAATGTGTCATTAAACATAGGCCAATTGGTGAAGGGATATATTCAAATCTTCACGGAAGAATAAATTTTTTTCCTTTTGGGAAAAAAAAATATTGATAACCTAAGTTTGCACATTTTCTAATTTGTTTGATGGATTTTAATTTATCTTAGAACCAAAGCGATGGTCAGCAGCATGGGACCCGCCCGGTCGACGTACGGTCCGGGCCATGTTCTCCAACCGCGGTCGCTGGGCCTGTACCTTACACGACCACACCACCCACCCACCCCCCGGCCCCACCCATAAAGGCGCGCACTTCAATTGTGAGAAAAAAATAAGAATATTAATTATGTAATTTACTCTTAAAAAAGAGTCTCTCTCTCTCTTAACATTCACCAATCACCACCCACATTTGACATCGAAACCAGACGTTCGGATTTCAACACCTGCAACGCCATTTGCTCGACGTTTAGATCCGATCTCCTCCTCCTCCTCTCTGTTTCTGCATTCCATTCCTGTTCCCATCCTCAATTTCTTCCCGCGGATTCTCAGGTCAGTCTATGTGTATCTCATTTTCGGTATCGGAGAATCACGTTGTACAATGAATGTTTTTCCGCCATTCGTTCACTGCACGACGATGCTTGTGTTCTATTTAGCTGATTTGGACTGTTTTTGGTTGATCATTTCTGCGTTCCTGTTTATCTGATTGAGCTCGAGCTTTTGTTTTTCCTCCTTTCGGGTTGAGCCCATCCGTATTGAAGGTTTATCTCGTTATTGATTCTTATTCGGTCTGTTAATTAGTCGCGTGTTTATTTGATCAATCTGAAGTAGGCGAATCTCCGCGATTGTTTTGGAACTGTGCACTCTTCTTTCGCTCCATGCGTGCAAGTGTTGCTGTTAGTGACGTGCAGTATTCGCGCGCCTTATTCATAACAACTCTTAAACGACGTCACTTGTTGTAATGTAACGGCTGCGGATGCCAGAGCCAAAGCCAGATATTTAAGCGTGACTATCTTAGTTTAGCTCATGCTGCTTCTCTTGAGAATTATTAGACGTAGGAAGAATTATATAATTACAGGATCTGAGCTGAATTAAAGGCGCCCATGACTTCTTATTCCTTGCTGGTTGTTACACTAACTAATTTTTAGAAGAAAAGTTTATAAACTATGAACTTGTATTTTTTTTTTCTCTCTTTCCCCAGTTTTTATGTTTTGGAAGTTCCACTGAAATTGGGTTCAGAGGTTCTCCAATTGATTTGCATAAAAACCGGGAGAGGGGGGTGGTGGGTGGATAATTACCAACCTCAGTAAGAGGACCTGTCTTTGTCATTATTATTATGACTCGAAGTCTGCACGTCTTTATGTTTTATCAATTTATGTGGGTACTTATTACTTATGTAGTCTCAAATACCGATGCTAGTTTTGTCAACTCAGTTATCTTTATTTGCAATTCAATCCCTAAATGAATTTCATATGCAGTTTACTTATTTGTGTCAATGCATGAAGTTCCTGCTTTCAGTTTACTCATTTGCATCTGTCAATGATTGTGTTGGAGAATGGATGGTTCTAACTTACCATAGGAAAGTGAGATGACTTAGAATTCTTCAGATACAGAAACGGTTGAACTCACAAGGGTTGATTCTATTGGGACCGGAAGTCAAGAAGTAGGTGGTCATCATAGAGAGCCATCATTCTCCCAGTGGATGCTCCGTTAATTAATGCAGATTCGGGTGTACAAGACACTATTTCAAATTTCCTTTGCTCCAACTGAGTCAGTTAGTAAACGGGCATTTTGAGGAGGAGATAAAACAAATATATAAATTGTCAGCAGACAATTATGCAATCTAGTGGTGGGGAGCCTGTTGCCCATTTTCCTGTTCACATTGAGGAAAATGGAAGTGAGCAATATGAACCTTTTAATATCGAGAATAAATCTGGGATGGATATTGAAGACGACGACCCTGAATCCTTTCACAGTGATAATTATAATTCTCTGCAGCTAGATGCAAAGAATCCTCTCTCCACTGACAATGTGCTAAAGACATTGTTCTTTGTTCTTGTCTGGTATACTTTCAGCCTTTTTTTGACCTTGTAAGTTCCTATTCACGAAATTAAATGCTAGAATTCTAATGTTTATTTAGAATGTTCATTTAAACGTGGTTTCTCCTGGTTTGAGCAGATATAATAAATCTTTATTAGGAGACCATTTGGGTAGGTTCCCGGCTCCATTGCTCATGAATACTGTTCATTTTACAATGCAAGCTGTTTTATCCAATATGATAACATGGATTGGGGCTCGTCGATTCCAACCACGTGTTACTATGACATGGAGGGATTACTTCACAAAAGGTAATATTCGAACTAATGTGTTTTATTTAGCCTTGGCATGATACTGGTATTATTCCAATTGACCTTTTCATTCTAGCAAGCTAATGTTAGATGATTAAGTTGCTTTTCTAAGAGACGGGCAAAATACATTGAGGCATTTTGTGGTCTTGTTCAACTAACAAGTGGAAAATTTACTGGATAAATACAAATTTCTTGAATATACACATTGCATTTAAAGAGTGATGGAACTTCTCTATGATTTATTTATAAGAATAGTATGTTTGATTTCCTTGATGAATTGTAATTCAGCTACATTTTAATTTCTTTGGATAAATCTTCTTATCCTTAAACTTTTTTAAAGTTTTCTTAAAAAAAAAAAAATCCAACGGATTTCAAATTTATGCAAAGGCCTTTTCCATTTCGATAATGTCTTGTATAATGTTTCATTTTCATAAGTTTGTCTGGACTATTATTCTAAAGGTCAAATAATGTATGTATATTGGACGCGTGTTTTCATTTGCTATTGCTTGTCAATTTGTGGATGGTTTTTATATTTTATTTGTTAGAAGTTTGTTTACATTTGTTTGAGCCCATAGGATGTTAACTTTTCTATCATGTGTAAATTAACTTTTCTATCAACTAATGCAACAGATGGACTTTGCCTTTCACAGTTGTCCCAACGGCTCTTGGAACAGCCTTGGATGTTAATCTAAGCAATGCATCCCTTGTCTCGATATCAGTCACATTTGCTACCATGGTTGGATACCTTTCTCCATGCCTATTTTTTGGGTCAAGAAACTCTATATGTTGTAAATATATTCTACTTTATGCTTTATTACACTAATTATCTCTCTCTCTCTCTCTCTCTCATTTTTGATTTTGACAGTGTAAATCCGGTTCTCCTATATTTCTCCTCCTGTTTGCTTTTGCTTTTAGGTGAGTTTTACTAAATTAAGTAATGTAGTTTCTTATGCATGTTGTTATATAGATAACTATTCTCTCAATAGCTTACTTCATTTTCTTAAAAAAAAAAAAAAAACTTGTCTGGTTGCATCCAATCTTCTCGTACATCATGCCTTTTGGAGCTTACAGTGCTTTGTGTTTTTTTGATGCTGTATGACCTTTGAGAACAATATTTAATAACTGAATGTGATTTCATCGTTTCATTTCTACATTCCTTAAGATGCTATAGCTCTGTGTATTAATTGTTAAATATGAGTTATTGGTGAAGATTGGGAATGAAATTTATTAGTTACATAGTCTATTGCTCAATATGTTCAGGAAACATTTTTAAATGGGGTAGTTTTTATATTGCTAGAGATTCCACATATGGTTGATTATTTTTATGATTGTGGAGATTGAAAATTTTCATTTTTTGTGATAATTGAGTATGACTTAGTGAAGTTTATTCTATTTGACGCCTAGTAATAGGCTTCCAGTATGACGCTTGTTGATGGCTTATTGATATCTAGTGTTATAATTTAAATATTGCATCCTCTATTATTTTTTTCCTCATGTAATTATTTCACAGAAGGTGGTATTGTTTTGGGCTTTCAAAGATAATGTTGTTGTGGACTAATTGGTTTGAAACAATTTCCTAGTCTGTGTTAATTAGTAGATATTGGCATTAAAGTTAAAAAAAAAAAAGCATCTCTATTAAATTTTAGGGGAAGGAATCCTATTTTATTAGCGGAAAGCAAAACCGACTAAAATTCAGTTTTCCAGAATCCTTATTCTTTGTTACATGACCCGAAGTGTGTTTTATGTGGAAGTTTTGCAATCATTTACTAATAGCTAAAAATAAATAATAGAAAGAGGAAAAAACTGTTAAGAGCTGAAAAATTGGACCGTCTTCACCAAGCATAAACTTTTACTAAATTACTTATTTTTATTTGTACAAGTGTTAAGGATCATCCATTCCCTTCTAAAATGATTTCTTTTTACATTGGGTATAAACGCAGGTGTGGAGTTTGAAATCGTGAATTTTTATGAAGTGGTGAACCATGAAATTATACCTATCTAAAATTGTTAAAGCATTTTTAACTTTCTGTTATTTCTGCCAAGTTATTTTATCCTAAATTTTTTATGAACAACAAACAACCAACAGTTACTGTGATGGTCAATAATAAACTTCCAACTTCAAATTTCTGTTATGCTAGGCTCTCTCTCTCTCTGCAGCTATATTATTATTTATTATTGATAGACTAGTTTAATCCACAACTGATACTGGTTATTGTGAATTCTGTGGCCTATCAACATTACCTGTAACATGTATTCTGAATTTTACTTTGAAGACATTGTATTTTCCCATCATAATGTTTTGTGTTGATGATTTATTCATTTAGTGTGAAATTTCTTGTGTAAGGTTGGAAACTCCCAGCTATAGACTTTCTGGAATCATAATGATTATATCTGCTGGAATTTTGTTAACAGGTATCTAGTGTCTTTCTTTTCCTCCTAGCTAATGATTCGTGAAGTTTAGAATTTAAAGTGTGTAGTTCTTTATTATAGTCAAATGGAAACGAACAATATTTGTGGTCAAACCAATTGAATCAACTTGATTCATGAAGTCGAGCTTGCACCACCCTTACTTGGAGAGGACCGGTGTTTTAGAGCTCTCACTGTGGGCAAACGTACACCACATACTTGAGGAAGATTAGATTTGGAAGTGAAAGAATCAGGAGCTAGTGAATTGTTGCTTCTGGCACTATTTGTTGTGTTCGTAGCAGCTTTTAAGCATCCATTACTATCAACAATTTTGTTATCCAAAAATTAATTACTTCAAACATTTTTGTCACCTTTTTCTTATAAAAGATGTATTTCTGCCCGTCTATGGCAGTTGCAAAGGAGACGGAATTTGAATTCTGGGGTTTCATTTTTGTTATGCTTGCTTCTGTTATGTCTGGCTTCAGATGGTCCATGACGCAAATTCTTCTTCAGGTATGAATTCTGTTGTCCTAATTTTTTTTCCCATGTATGCTAGTGTTTTACGTACAAGCAACTATTTGCTCCATTTCTTCTTTTATTTGCTGCCTTGGATCCTGACACTTTTCCCCATATGATGCATTTAATACCCAACTGGATATGAAGCGAGAAGCATATGGTAAGTACTTCTCTGTGCCTCAGTTTTCACTTCTTGGATATTTTTGGTTCTGTATCCGTGGATATTTCTGCAAGGCTTCATGGACAAAATTATAATTCTTGAATTTTATCCCTCACTTTTAGCATTTGTAGATAATATGTTTTATTTTATTTCACCAAATGAAATAGCTACCCCCAAGGATCAGTGAGTTAGTATTTGAGTCAATTCATCTTATTTCTACTAGACCATGTTATTTTGAAATTAAGTTCTTTTTTGCAACTTTTGGATGTTGTTTCATTCAAATTTTAAATTTATTCGTCACAAAACAGGGGTGCTAAATATTGTCTCAATTGGTTTTAAGTCCGTTTTGTTTGTTGCACTTCAATCAAGGTGCTTTTGTTTTTGTTTTTGTTTTTTTTTTTATGAAGTATTAATTTTATGTAATATTCATTTTATGAAGTATTCATTCGTTACAGGCTTGAAAAATCCTATTACCTTGATGAGCTATGTGACACCAGTGATGGCCATTGTGACTTTGATACTATCCCTTGGTTTAGATCCGTGGAATGAGTTTACCAGTAATAGATATTTTAACAGTGTATGGCATGTTGCTCGGAGTTGCTTGCTGATGCTTTTTGGTGGAGCACTTGCCTTCTGTATGGTAGGAACCTATTTGATTTTTTCCCTCACTGTACAATAAGCACATTTGTGCTGGGAAAGGATTGATTTGTATCAACTCCACAGTAGGTGTACAGCATTTATTTGCTTGGAATTTATTTATAGAGTGCTTTCTTGACTCTTTACGTCCTAAAATCTTGATGTCCTAAAATCTTGATGGTCAAATCTTTTGTTAGCTTCTCTATTTGATGAATTGTGTTATCCTTTTGCAGGTATTAACAGAATATATCCTTGTCTCCGTAACTAGTGCTGTCACAGTTACAGTAGCTGGTATTGTAAAGGAGGCTGTCACTATACTGGTATGAAAGATCTTGTGACCATTTTCATTATATTTCCTAAACGAAATATAGGTTCCTTCAATTTGCTTCGTAGTGGTCTAGTATCTCGTCTCGAAGTTTTTAATTTACTACCAGTTCTCTTGAAGTATTTCATCTGGGTTGTCACGACTTATGACAAATAGTTTTAGGGTTGCTCATGAAGAGTTTTTTTGTTCGCTGACTTTCTTATGGAAGCTAAGTTAATAATGTACCACTTACTATTAATCTAGCCATTACATTTTTAATTTCAAATGTGAATTTGGTACTGCCTTAATTAAATTTGCTGATTCCCACATGCATATTTGCTCACTAGAATCACTTAGTGTACTTGAAAGGAAGGCTTACCTTTCTTTTCTCTTTCTACTTCTTTGACATTTCTGGCTCTAAATTGCTTGTATATTGCGATAGTGGCGATTTTGATGAAATTGACTCTAGGTTATTGTTTCACCAGCATCCCACTGAAATGAACTCGTCATGTTAGTGTCTTTTCTTCTATTCTACTGCAACGACATTAAAAATGTTTGAGAAGGGTGACATTGAGGTGGGAAGATATCTCGTCTTCCCTCTCCCCCTTGGTCTTTTGTTTTCTCCGAATAAAAGCATTTCTTATTTAAAAAAAAAATAGAAGTTTTTAAAGTGCATGGTACTGAGGTACGAAATGTGAACTATGCAGAGTACTGTTCATTCCATGCATTTTAGGTGGCTATTGATCCCTGACATCTTGTAATTTAATATTGCATTATTGCATTTTCAGGTTGCAGTATTTTACTTCCACGATAAATTTACCTGGCTAAAAGGGGCTGGTCTCGTCGTAATTATCATTGGTGTCAGTTTGTTCAATTGGTACAAGTAAGTTGTCATTTTATAAATCATGGCATCTCGTTAAAACGTTCTCTTTCTAAGATTAAATTTAGTGCTTAATTAGCACGCCTGACAATTAGTCAAATGTGTTAGTTAAAGATCATCCTTCAAGTGTGATATGGCGGCTCAAAGCCTATAGGATATCCATGTCGATTAACTATTAAGTGCTTAGAAGTTAGATATTTATGAATACCCTTGTTCAAACACGAATAAATATACTCTTCACTTAAAAACAAGTATTAAAGCATTAGACAATATCAACTACTCATATGGTATCTAAAGTGTTCTTTTGTTATTATTATTATTTTTTTTTTTGACATGGTATTTTGTAAGTTGAATAGTAATATTTTTTTAAGTAACTTTTATTTATTTATTTAAATAAATGATAATATGATTCAAAGTTCAAACAATGAAGATTAACAAGTATAAGGTTAATTTTTCCATGGAGACATACACAGAAAGAAATGAAGGATTATAAAATGTTCATAATATTTTCCTCAAGCACCCACCTGAATCAAGAGTCAAGACAACTCATGTTTATCAGATACCAAACACCCTCCTAGTGCAGCTCTCTGTATCTGTCTGTGGATATATGACAATGTAACTTTCATGATAATTCAATCTGTTCAAAGGGCACTTCATACTCGTTCCCATTCCTATGTTAATAAGCCCCAAAACATATGGCTCTTGGTAGGCTGTTACTGAAAGTGCTGTTAGTTCAGCATGTCTACTTGCTAGATTATCCTGCAACATTTTTACATTAACCGGAAATTTCCAATTTTGTCATATGTAGTTGTTTCAGTAGTTATGGTAAATTTTCTACTTTATTTCCTCATATGAAATAAAAACTTGATAAACATTAGAGTGGAAAAGTTACATGTGTCGTACTTTAACCATTGGAAAGCCACATAATGGAAGTCAAGTGCTGCCCTTGCTATCGCCTTTTTGCCCGTGGGAAACATTACTGGGAAAGAAAAAGTGAGGTGATAAAGGAAAAATTTACTGCTGCTTTTTCAACCATGATTTTCTGGGTATAGAGATGGAGAATGTAATCAACTAGTATTTCAGAGGAAATATTGTTTATAATAAAATGTTTCCAATATTTTAAACCAGGCAATTAAAACGGTAAACGTTTCTTGGAATTAGAGAATAGGAGGATTAGGACACAAATTATAGCAATTAGCAATAACTTAAAAGTTGCATCTGAAGAAGTCATAAATTTGATCAAGGGAACTTCTTGTGTTAACTCATCATGGTTTATCTTCAATTGCTCATCAGATACCAAAAGCTACAAAAGAAAGCTAGTGAAGATAAAGTGGTAGGCTCACAGCCAACAAGTGTTGCTGCCAAATATGTAATTCTTGAGGAGATGGATGAGGAAGATAGCCAGCGTGAATTGTCAAATCACATCATCTGAATCCTAGTTAATTAAAGTGAGCTTTCTTAACTTATTTTGCCAATCGTTCCTGTCCTATTAGTTACGTTTGGTTTTAGATGAAAATATATCTCTGTTTACTCCGATAAAAGATAATGCCATTGTTTTCGTTATATGTTTTGCAAAGTGGAGATGATTTTCAAATTTCCCTTTCAGCTCTTAATTCCCCGAAAATGCAAAAAATCAATTAATCTAATTGTATTATTTTTGCAAGATATTCTCCTTGGGTTCATCACATTTTAGGCGTGAATGGCAATATGTGCATGGTGTTCTCTCTGTGTTTATACTTGTACACAAGTCTTTTCCGGATTGTATGAATCTTCTCCATTATTGTTAATTGGTAAAGAAGTCTTCCATCATAGCCGTTAATGATCTGATTCTATCACTAAGTTCTTGTTCTGTTTCAAACTTTTGCACCAATATGGCTCATACAAAATAATGTTGGAAACAATTTCCACTGTTTTTTATATCTAATATCATTTGGCTGCTTCCTTTTCGGCCCGTAGGCCTGGTACTAATGTCACGGGATCTGCTTCAATTTGATGTTCGATTATCATTATTAGTTTAGAATAAATTTGGTTACATAGTCTTTATTATTATCATCGACAACTTAGGGTATTGATATTATCAAATAGTTTCTTAGTTAATTAATACTAATCTAGTTGGTTGATGATCCTACAGGCCACGGTAATTTTGAACAGATTTACTGGAAGTTTCATTGCTCACTATTGAAGGAATTATTTTTTACGGGCTCTGGTAGCTGACTATATTCAAATGTTATGCCAGTATCCTTGTGGCCGTCTTGGGATTTAGCTTCGAAAAGTTGTAATCAATTTTGTAGTGAAAGCAGACAAATATGAGTGGATCTTCTACACAAGCTTTGTATTCTAATTATCAATATTATTTTGTTTTCTTCAATTCATGCTTTGAATCTCAACCTTGATGGTTACTCAAAAACCTTTTCATTTTTAATTGTTTTCCCATTTCAAAGATTTAAGATGAAGAGAGGTATAAGAATGTTGAGTTTGATTTGGGTAAATGTTCTAAATTTTGATCCTTCACTAGGAAATTACTTGAATAAGCAGGGCCTTTTTTTTTCTTTATATATATATACACACACACTTACACTTTGAAGGAATAATTGATCAAGGTAATGGAAACATGTGAGGTTCATATGGTAATGATTACTATTTTTTTTTGTTTTTTGAGAAATACTATTTTTTTTCTTTCTTATTTCTCGTTTCATCTTTTTTAATAAATGAATATAAAAATGTGTTTGTTAATTGTTTCTTGGTTTTTTATTCTAAAAAGGAAACAGAACCATATTTGGTAATAAATTTTTTTTCGTTTTCTAAAATTTTAATTTTTTTATATGAAATTTAACTTTTTAAAAAATATTCAAATTGTTATATTTATTTTTTAAATATTCATCATGTACTTTAAAATTTAAAGATGATCAATATATACTTTTATTTATGTTTTGAAAAAATTTATTTATGTTTTGAAAAAATTAGATTGGAAATGGAACAAAAAATTTGATTATATGGTTTTAAAAAATTTCTACACAGTTATGAAAGTGTTTCATAAAAATGAAGGAAAAAACGAGACATAGAACTACCAAACACTTATATTTCTTAAAAATCGAAAAAGAAAAACAAGAATGAGAATATTACCAAACGGACGTGTAATTATGGTGAACTTGGATTTGTTGGGCACATGAAAAATCATCTCTTGGTTAGTTGTTTTAAGTTTACATTTTTTCATTAATAGATATAGTTATGATATTGTTATATATATGTTATTAAAAAAAATACTTAGGTATTTCTCGATAACCACTTTATACATTTTATTCATTTCTCTTACCTGTCAAAACTTTAATGGTGATCACCAAAAGATCCGTTCATTCATTAGTGGATAAAACTTAGGTGCTAGGAAAGTAGGTATCTTCCTATTTACCAACATTAAAAAATTGATTCCTATTTATTCTATTTTCTCTTTTCCTTCATGCATTCATCCTTCGTCCTTAATTTTATTTTTTTGTGGTGGTAAGTTGAATATACACCTAAGTTTTATTCTTTATTAGTGATGAGAATCAATACACTCCAGCTCGATTCAAAAAGTTTGGTACAAATGTTATAAAAGTTAGAAATAGAAAATGAAAGGAAATTGATTGGTAATAGGAATAAGTAGATGACTGATAAACATTCAAATTTCATAGAATTAATGAAAACTGATACACTCAAAAAGTGAGAAATACATCAATATTATTTCCTTAAAAAAAAAATTAACAATAAAAAACATATGAAACAAACCAAAATTTACTGGGGATAGGAATCAGTAGATGCACCCGATAATCCCAACTATGTTGGCACAATCTTAGCACCCTCATCATCTAGCCTATCCCAATAAATCAATATCATCAAATAGTAATAAGAGTCTGTACATCGTTCAAGTTAAATATAAAAGTGAAATAAGCTATAACTAATTCTTCAAATATAAACCATAAAAATGCATGGTCTCGAGGAATCCATCACAGGAAGGTATGGAAAATCCACAAAGGCGCTCCAAATCTTTGAACGATTTATGGCTATCTTCCACCTCCACAGTCCGTTCGATTTCCTCCAAAGCTTCTCGAGCTGCATGTCTTAGTTCTTCAATCGTAGCTGGTTTCACACCTTGTTTTTCAATTGTATTTAGTTCCATAGCACATGGTTCGCTATTGTCATTCTTCAAATATAAACCATAGAAGTGCATGGTGTCGAGGAATCCATCACAGGAAGGTATGGGAAATCTACAAAGGCGCTCTAAATCTTTGAGGGATTTATGGCTATCTTCCACCTCCACAGTTCGTTCCACCTCCTCCAAAGCTCCTCGCGCTGCTCGCCTCAGTTTTTCAATTGTAGATGGCTTAACAACTAATTTTTCAATCACATCCGGCTTCACAGCACATGGCACATCATTGATGCAAAGCTGCCGCTGTGCTTTCAAGATCGTATCGGCGAACCTTGCTTTCAACATTGTTACTCGAGCAGCTGTGGTTGGTGAGGGTGGAGTACCAATCTGCCGTGGTGTTGTGATTGAGGTTGGTGTTGAAGTTGTGGCTTCAGATGGTGTTTGTGGTATCTTTGCTACCAAATCTCCACATTTCTATTTAAAAAAAAATCACATTCTCACGGTTTCGATTTATGTACAGAATTGGATACAAAAATAAAAATAAAAATAAAAATAATAAAAAATTGAACTCACCACTGTATTTGCTGCCAAATCAGCATAAGAAACTAGTTGCGGTTTCACTGGCCCCGACCTCACCTAAACATGTACAAAATTGGATATATAAATAAAAGAAATAAAATCTTTTCTAACCTATAAAAGAAAAGRCACCTTGGACTATTCATGTTATTGTCCAATTATTATTATTTTATAAACTTATCTCGAGTATTTATGCAATTTTGACCCTCTTTTTTTAAATTTTGGGCATTTATGCAATCTTGTATAAAGTTGAGATTTTCTTCGATACGTAAGACTTGTTGTGATTGGTTTTCAAATTAAAAATAGACCGTAGGTTTTAGGGGAGGATTCCACAATTTGGCCCTTTTTTTTTTCCTAATGATGATATTTTCGTAATTTTACCGTGGAAAAAAATGAAAATGGTCAAAAATTAGAATGAGATGAGTTACAAATAAGATTTGTTAGGGAGCGGTCAAAAATTCGAATGGATTTTAAAATGGCCGAGAAATCCAATTTCGAGGCTACTACTCTCGATCAGCTATCCTCCATTAATAAATGAGCTACCTCTATCTACCCATTGATGGTGGGATGTAAATAAATGAATATAAAATTGTATATATAAAAAAGTAATAAAATTAACACATATCACATCACTATATGAGTAAAGGAATATGAGATCCACCAACAATAATAAATAAAACTCACCAATTTAGTCTTTGCTTCCAAATCGTCGCAAAAAGTTCGTTGAGTCGCTTTCGCCTAAACACGTACAAAATTAGATATATAAATAAACGCAATGGACGCTCAAGAACTACCACATTTCTTATCTTTTCGATGTAGTATCTTTGTTTAAATGATAAATCATTAAATAAAATTTGGTAGATTTTATTTAAAGAAAAAATTAATTATATTAAGTTTTATATGAACTAAATTTAAGCAAAGTTTAATAATAATTAAAAAAACAAAACATTCAATTAAAAGAATACAAAAAATTATCACAAACAAAGAAAGAGGAAACAAAAATATTAAAGAAAAAGGTTAAAAGAAAAACTGAATTAATCAAATCGAAAATTTAAATAAATAAATAAAAATTCCTAAAACGGACTTTAACGGTAGATACAGTTACTTTATGCATGACAATAGAAGTGGTGAATCGAATTCACAACCTTTTGATTGAAGATATATATCAATTACCACTAATTATGTTCGGTTTGACATGTCATTTGTACTTTATGTTAATTGTATAAATTAATATCCTCAATCAATTAATCAATTAAAAGAAATAATATTTTATATACGTGTTTTTCAAATTACACTACTTTTTTCCTTGTCTTTTAAGATTGGAAGCCTGGTAAAGACATTAAAAGAAATTATAGCAAATTTTCTTTTTTTTTTTAATAGAAATTCCAGCCAAACTGGCCCAATACAAAACAAACATTTCAAATATTTTGTAATTAAAAAAAGAAAAAGTAAACTCATGCAAGGAGATTTAGGGTTTTGACCAAACGGAATAATTTCCCTCGCATGTAAAAAGTTTTGATTTATCATCATTTTTCTAATACACTTTTGTATTTTTTTTGTCTAATAAAGTGTGTCGAATTTAGGAACCTTGAATAAAAATGTCCCTTTGCCTAAATATGGTTGAGATTTTAAATATGAGATCATACCCAAAAAAAAAAAAAATTAAATTAAATTACCGATATAGTCTTTGCTACCAAATCTTCGCAAAAAGATTCTCGAGGTTTTGCCTTCATCTAAACATGTACAAAATTAAATATATTAATAAATGCAATAATATTTCAAGAATGACCATATTTCTTATCTTTTCAACCTAAAATAATCTTGATCAAAATAAAGAACTCACCATAGCCCTTTTTGTCTTTGACTTTACATTGCCTAGTTTCTCCGACGCGAAAATACGATTATAAGATTTCATGGAGATCCCTTTCTGGATCAACTTCTTCTTTGGTGGTTTAGCAGTCAATCTTTCGCATAGAAGAAGGCCTCTTAAATACGAAACATCTTTCTCAACACCCTTCATCTTTTTTCACACTTTAAACGCTCTCAATTTCTCTCTACACTCCAGAAATTTTGGTATGATAAGGAGGAACACTGTCCTTTTATAATATGTAATGTTTATTATTTGACTATAATTCCTGTCAATTTGAAATTTAAACGGTAAATTTAAAATTTAAAATTTGATTTTGTTTATAAGATTAATTTTATAATATGTAATGCATAAGTATTTCACTGCAATTTCTGTCAATTTGAAATTTAAATGTTAAATGTGAAATTTGAAATTTGATTTCCAATTTTCCACGCTAGCCCTACTTTATATATATGAGATTAAATTTGAAGGTTAAAAAGATAAAATAAAAAAATATTTTAATGGTTTAAAAAAAGTACTCACCAAAACAGCCGTGGGGAACTATTTTCGCTTTAAAATTTCAATTAAAATGTTAATTCTTTACGAGAATCTCAAATTTCAAATTCCCACCGAAAATTTTCATTTTAAAGGAAAAATTATTAATTTTATTAAAAAATCTATCACAAACAACAAATTCTAAAATTTAAATTTCACCCTTCAAATTATCAATATAAATAAATACTAAAACATACTCACCATAACAATGTTTCGTAAATTTTACAAACAAATATTTAGATTTAGGAGTTTTAAAATACATCTAATAAAAATACTAAAAATACTTAATTAAAAACAATCGTACTAGAATATATTCTCCATCTCCATTGAGTCAAAGTGAAAAAACTTTGTCTAACTCACTCTTTAGGATATTTAACTACATATTCTATCAAATTAGATTTTATTCCATGTAAAAAAAAATAATATCCCTAATATGCGCTAAACAAATTAAATTTTGAAAGTCAATATTCACAAGATTCAAAATCTTGATCTTCTCGTTCCGACATACGTACAATTCTGTGAAGCTCAGTTTAAGTTGAACATTTGAAACTTGATTTTGAATTAATTACCAATTTTAGGGTGAATTTGACAATAGAGCATAATATATGGAAATAAATTACAATATGTTATTAAATATTCTCTTTCTTTATACTCTCTAGCATATTTCCTGCCACAAATAGCAGAAAGCGTATTGGATAAACGGGCCACTTTAAAATATAGCCAAAAAAGTTAATAATTGATGTCAAATATAGTAAAAAATGGAGGCTCAATTCTTAGAAAAAAAAAAGAATAAAAGGAAAAGTCACTTATATCCTTAAAATAAAGATTTTTTGAAAATAAGAAAAATCCATGCATTCATATTATATATCAATGATATATTTCAATAGATATATTTGTTATTATTTGTATATCAATTATATACTTAAAATGATGTAGATCATTGATGTACTTGATATATACAAGGCAAAATAAAACAAAATTTATAGATACATGAATAATCAAACTACATAAAAAAAAGTACAAAAAACAAAAAAAATTATTGATGATAAGAATCAGTAGATGCACCCGATGATCCCAACTATGTTGGCACAATCTTAGCACCCTCATCATYTAGCCCATTCCAATAAATCAATGACATTGAATAGTAATAAGAGTCTGTACATCGTTCAAGTTAAATATAAAAATGAAATAAGCTATAACTAATTCTTCAAATATAAACCATACAAGTGCATGGTATCGAAGAATCCATCCTTGGAAGGTATGGGAAATCCACAAAGGTGCTCCAAATCTTTGAAGGATTTATGGCTATCTTCCACCTCCACAATCTGTTCCACCTCTTCCAGAGTTTCTCGAGATGCTCGTCTCAGTTCTTCAATTGTAGGTGGCTTCACAACGGGTTTTTCAATTGTATTCGGCTCCATAGCACATGACTCACTATTATCATTCTTCAAATATAAACCATAGAAGCGCATGGTGTCGAGGAATCCATCACAGGAAGGTATGAGAAATCCACAAAGACGCTCTAAATCTTCGAGGGATTTATGGCTATCTTCCACCTCTACAGTCCGTTCCACCTCTTCCAAAACTTCTCGCACTGCTCGCCTCAGTTCTTCAATTGTAGATGGCTTAACAACTATCACATCCGGCTTCACAGCACATGGCACATCATTGATGCAAAGCTGCCGCTGTGCTTTCAAGATCGTATCGGCGAACCTTGCTTTCAGCATTGTTACTCGAGGAGCTGTGCTGGGTGATTGAGATTGGTGTTGGAGTTGTGGCTTCAGCTGGTTTTTGTGGTATCTTTGCTACCAAATCTCCACATTTCTATTCCAAAAAATCACATTCTCACGGTTTCGATTTATGTACAGAATTGGATATAAAAAAAATAATAATAATAATAATAAATTGAACTCACCACTGTATTTGCTGCCAAATCAGCACAAGAAACTAGTTGCGGTTTCACTGGCCCAGAACTCACCTAAACATGTACAAAATTGAATATATAAATAAAAGAAATAAAATCTATCGTAACCATGGTTTTAAATATCTATCGACGCGTCAGTATTTCGATCGACATATTCATGTTTTCATGGATTCGACATCGACATGAGGGATGAATTGACATTTCTATTATAGTATAAGAAAATCGACAAAATATGAAAAATATCAAACAAAATGCCACTAATATATATTAATATTAATTATTTCTAACTAATTTTTGAAATGAGAAAATGTTTATTTGTTAATTTGAATATTTTTTACGATTTTTAAATTTTTCTAACTTTTATAGAAATCTCTATCGATATCGACATTTTATTGATATTTCCATCGTAATTTCTATCGACGTCAACATTTAAAACATGGATCCTAACATGGAAAAAAGAAGGGACTTTGGACTATTCATCTCATTGGCTAGTTATTATGATTTTTTAAAATTATCTTGAACGTTTATGCAATTTTGGCTCTCTTTTTTAATTAAATTTTGGACATTATGCAATATTGACCCGGGATTAAAAAGTTGAGATTTTCTTCAATTGGTAATTGATTCTTCAAATTAAAAAGTAAGATTTTTTGTGATTGATTATTCAAATTAAAAGTTAGTATTTTTTCATATTAAATTCAAATTAAAAATTGCGTGTGAGGTTCAAGGTGAGGGAATTGGTGGAGGGAACCAAGATACGGGTGAATTTTGCTTTACGAAAAACGAGGATATTTTGGTAATTTTACCCGGACAAAAAATGAAAATGAGTAAAAAATTAGAATGGCAAAGGTTACAAATAAGATTTTTAGAGGGAGGTCAAAAATTCGAACGGATTCTAAAATGGGTTAGAAACCCAATTTCCAGGCTACTACTCTCGGTCAATTAGTTTTGAGATAGAACTTTATAAATATCAATAAATGAGCTACCTCTATCCACCGATTGATGTTGAAATGTAAGAAAATGAATATAGAATTGTATATATAAAAAAGCAATAAAATATTAACACATATCACATCACTATAAAGGAAGTAAGAAATATGAGATCATACAACAACAATGATAAATAATATGAACTAAATTTAAGAAAAGTTTAATAATAAAAAAAAAAACAAAAGATTCAACTAAAAGAATAAAAAAAGTATCACAAACAAAGAAAGAGGAAACAAAAATATTAAAGAAAAAGGTTAAAAGAAAAAACGGAATTAATCGAATCCGGCTAGGCAAATTTAAATAAATAAATAAAAATTCCTAGAACGGACTTTAACGGCCCGTTTCCATCCGTCAAAAGGAGGTGAAATGAAGGGACGCAAAACCTAACTAAATAATTTGAAAACAATTTGTCTTTTTTTCTAATTGTTTTATAAAAATGATATACTGCTTCGAAAAACTGATATATTAAAAAAACAATAAAGAAATTACCGATATAGTCTTTGTTGTCGGATCGTCACAAAAAACTTCTCGAATTACCATATTTCTTTATCTTTTCAACTTAAAATAATGTTCAACAAAATAAAGAACTCACCCTAGTCGTTCTTATCTTTGGCTTTACATTGTCTAGTGTCTCTGATGCGAAAATGCGGTCATGATATGGAGATCTCTTTCTTGATCAACTTCTTCTTTGGTGGTTTAGCGGTCAATCTTTCGCATAGAAGAAGACTTCTTAAATACGAAACATCTTTCTCAACACCCTTCATCTTCATCTTCATCTTTCTTCACACTTTAAACGATCTCAATTTCTCCCTACACTCTCTCTAATCTTCAGAAATTTTAGTATAATAAAGAGGAACACTGTCATTTTATAATATGTAGTACTTATTATTTCACTACAATTCTTGTCTATTTAAAATTTAAACTGTAAATTTGAAATTTGAAATTTGATTTGCTAAGATTAGATAAGATAAATAAGGTATAAGAAAGAATTATATAATATCTTTCTTTCTAATTTCCGGTGCTAGCTCTACTTTATACATATGAGATTAAATTGGAACGTTAAAAATATAAAATAGAAAGATTCTAATGGTTTAATTTATTTTAACAAATGATTAATTTTTGTATAAATTATGATATCTTAAAAAAAAAAAAAAAACAGTACGCACCATGGTGGGGAATTGTCTTCGATTTGTTTAATTTTGTTAAAATATCAATTAAATGTTAATTTACGAAAATCTCCAAATTTTAAATTACTACGGACAATTTTCATTTTAAAGGAAGAAGTATTAAATTTATTAAAAAATTCTTATAATTCATAAAAAACAAATTATAAAATTTAAATGGCACAATTCATATTATCAATACAAATAAATAAATGCTAAAACATAAACATCACAATAATATCTCTTGTAAATTTTACCTACAAGTATTTAGAGTTAGGATTTTAAAAAATCTATAATAATAATAATATGAATACTTAATTAAAAATAATGAGGACGGGTATGGAAACATATTCTCGGTCTCCATTAAGTCAAGTGAAACACTTTCTCTACCTCACTTCGTAGGATGCTTAAATGGAGATTCTATCTCATTAGAGATTATCCCCTGAAAAAAATAACACCCCTAATCCGTGCAACTCTCGCACTTGCAAGTTTTGTAGTTGATTTGAATCAAATAAAGCATAATATATGAAAGTAAATCACAATATGGTTATTAAGCCTCTGTTTTGTAACGTTTTCGTTGCTCCAAGTCAAACATGCTTAATGATAAAAAAGAATCAATATACAGAAGTATACGCTTTTGGTCAACATATATGTATGTCCGCTGACAAAGCGCGAAGAGTAATTGATCAGATTCGGGGACGTTCCTACGAAGAAACAATGATGATACTCGAACTCATGCCTTATCGCGCATGTTATCCAATTTTAAAATTGGTTTATTCGACAGCAGCAAATGCTAGTCACAATATGGGTTTCCACGAAAGAAATTTAGTCATTAGTAAAGCGGAAATCAACAAAAGTACTACTGTGAAAAAATTAAAACCTCAAGCTTGAGCCCAGCTTCACCACTGTTAACCCAATTACTCGGTTCAACTACTTTAGTAATCCAGGTGATGTGGAGGAGTGTGTGAATGGCACCGACATCGCAAGATCGGTGATGTACTGAAGAACCGTTCCATGGGGGATTTTCAATTCAGGAACTTTAAATTTATTCCCATTGAGTTATGGAAAGAAAGAAGGTGCATCTTGTCAGGGAGTGATTATCAATTATTTTAAGCATTTCTTGATCATTCTTTTATCATTTCATGATCTGCTCATTCGATATCAATTCATTCATGTGAAAGCCCGGGGAGAGACACGAGGGGTACAAAGGCTCAATGTCATGGTTTGCTTTTAGTACACAAAAAAGGTTTGGGTGGGAAGGGAAACCACATTATTGCAGTAGAAGAAGACAACTAGAAAACTGAAACTTCTACTTTCTCTTTGGCTCTGGACTCACAAATTTGCTCCATCACATTCCCAATCCCGCCATTGATTTTCGGGAATGGACTTATTGGGCGGCGGAAGCCATGGCGGCCTCTGGGGCTGGAACTTCCTGCTTCCCGATCCTAAAACTTCTCGAAACAAGAGGAGAAGATTTGAACCCAAATCATCTAATTCCTTGGAGGCAACTCCTGGATCTGGTTTCCGTTTCCCCCTTAAGCAGTCCTTGATTGCCGGCTGTCTCTCTCTCTCGGGCGACACTATTGCACAGTTTATAGGCCGGTGGCGTAAAGGAATCGCTCTCAATTCCACTTCTCTCTCTAATTCTGCCTCTCTCAGTAGGGTAATTTACTGTTTTCCAGTGATTTTGAAATTCGAATTGTACTAAAGTCGGTGGCTTAGGGTATGAACTTTCTTTATTCATGTTTCCTTTTGTGCATGTCTGAGTTTTCGGGCCCAGCACTATCGATGTTACCTGTTGTCTTTTCAATTCGGTGTTTGAACTTGAACCTGGCAATTCTTTTGGACGGAAATTATTGAATGGTTCATTCTGTCATAGCAAAACTGTGGCTTGGAAACAATTCTTATCTTTTACTCCGTGTACAGTAGTTCATTTTTCTAGGACAGTTGTTCTGTGCATGCCGGATCATCCGCTTCTAGTCTACTGTGCTTCTTTTTGGAACCTCATTGATGCGTTTTTATGGGTGTCTTTAACTAATTTCGTGACCAAAACTCTTCTTTCAGGATGGTTTTTCAAACATATTTTCGGAACATGATTGGATTCGCGCTTTGCGAATGCTTTCTTATGGGTTTCTGTTGTATGGTCCGGGATCCTTTGCATGGTACAACTATCTTGATCATGCTTTGCCCAAGAGATCGGTGGAGAATCTTATGCTGAAGGTACAGCTGATTGTGGCTTTTGTGTTAATTATTCTTTTAATATACACTTAAGCTCAGCTCATAGCGGCTCGAGATAAGCAGTAACCGTATACAAGCACAGTTCCATGTACATTATTCTTAATTGATTGTTCTTCAGGTTCTCCTAAATCAAGTTGTTCTTGGTCCATGCGTTATTGCTGTTGTATTTGCATGGAACAATATATGGCTTGGAAAAATCTCCCAGCTTCCTGACAAGTATCGGAAAGATGCTCTTCCTACACTATTATATGGTAAAAACGTCTCTGACTAGGGCATTTTGTTGCTCAAGGACACAAGTCTAATGAAATCACTTTTTGATCTCTTTGCAGGGTTTAGGTTCTGGATTCCTGTCRGCATATTGAACTTTTGGTAATTTTTCACATTTAGTTACCCCACGATCCCAGCAGGTTCCCTTTTCGTTACTCAAGCTACACTTGAAAGAGCAATTGAACAACATTTGAAACCACATAAGATGTATTTTGGAACAGGGCCTTTAGTAGTTAACCTGTAGTTGATGAGCTAAAACACAATATCAGCTTTTTAAGTTTTAGATAGATAAGATATTACAATTAACACATGCTTAACTTCTGATCTTTCTTTTTGTATTGCATTTTCCGACATGACGGTTAAGTAGGTTTCAGAAATCTTTGAACCACAATATTTTATCTGATCTCTTTTCTATGAGGCCAAATGAATTTTTGCTATATGTTCTATACGCACGAAGCCTTAAACTTAAGATTTTGGCAGTCAGCCTTCTCCTCTTTATATAACACTGGCAACCATATATTCATGCTCTAAATCTGTGATTGGTAACCAAGGACATTACGTTGAATTTGACTCAACCATGTGTGGCATAACAGGGCTGTGCCTCTCCAAGCTCGGGTGCCTTTTATGTCTGTGGCCTCTATATTTTGGAACTTCTATTTGTCTTCAACCATGAGTAAGTGATTCAATCTGGAATCATTCTTGAAATCCAGATGCGAGATCGCAGTTTGAGGTTTTATTATAAGGTAAGCCCTTTATGATTTTCTCTAGCTTTTATCGTTATCAATTGGTTCCACGATATATCTTACCTGTTGTACTTTTGTTTACAGACTCAATTCGTAGCTGGGTTGATGGTGCTTCGACTAAACATAATTTTGTTTTCTAAGTGAAAGTTTAGTTGCTTTAGCTGAAGAGCATTGCCACCCCCAACACACAAACACACACACATTGTAGCCATGTGGGGTGATAACAAAATTTTGCACCCAAAGTTGGGCAAATATTAATACCTTCGAACAGCTTGAAGAATTTAAATGATTGTTTTTGGTGTCTTTGATGTTCATTTTTAAGAATCTGATTTCATCTTTAGTATATTTTTCTTGCCATTATCCGATTTTTGTCATACCAGAAACTCAAAATAGTGAAGAAGGAAGGGACAAAAATAATTTACGGATTAATTCAAGGAGACTAATGATTTCTTTTTGAAAGACATCAAACAAATAACGAAGACCCAACATGAAAAGAACATCAAGATACGAGGCTCAAAGCCTCTTCACGAAGTTCTCGAATTTGCTGAGGAGCTTCTTCAATCAAAATCTTTTTTTAGTATAATATGTGAAAGTAGGAGATCGAACACACAATTTCTTAATTGGAGATATATGTCAATTACGTTGTTTACTTTGGCAATTGATTTGCAAGTTATTTACTATTTAAATGGTACGTTAAATATTTGTCATTTCATGTTTTGATGTAATATTACTATTGCCATGTAGTTTTCTATTTTTGAAATTTATGTTTTTCTTATTGAAATTTATGTTTTTCTTAGTACAACGACACGTGTAAGTGTGGTTCGAACATATGACCTTTTGGTTAAAGATACACGACCGTGTCAGAACTTCGAGTAGAGGATCTCAAACGAATGTTGAATGAGGGTGGAAGAATGATCTTGGCGATCTTTGAATACCCTCTAATAACACTTTGGTCAATGGTATGACTTAGATACGAGAAGATATGCTATCGGATATCTTCCACTCATAAAAGGAGATCAAAGACTCTTCTACAAAATATGCTAACGCATGGCACACGACTCTTTTACTCTCTTACCAACTTTACTCTATGAAAGTACTAACTTAAACATCTAAGGTGATAGGATTGGCATCATGTTGATGTTAAAGAATTCGTATACCCGAGATCTCACCTCAACTCGACCATATTCGAGTGTCCATCACACTTTAAAATATTCTTACACATTCCAATTTTTTTTCATTATACATTCCAACTAATCTTCACATGTTTTCTAACATGCATTGAGTTATTAACATAGTTCAAGAAAGAAAAAAAAAAAAGAAAAAACAACAACTAGATTTTTTTTTTTTTTAAGAAAGATCGACATTTAAAATCTAAAAAGGTTTTCTCAACCCAATTTAAATTGTTTGAAAAATAATTGTCTTATCAATTATCACTTTCAAACTAAGATAGATAAAAGTTAAAATACAGATAACAAAATTTATAAATTTTATTGTTCACCCCATTATTATAATGTAGTACTAAAAAAATAATAATAGTAATAACTGTCATGTAATTATGGATTTATATTTTTATGGTTGGTCATCTTGAAAATATTATTCGCGCTTTGACCCCAACCAACGGGAGCGGCAGTGGCAATGGCAGGTATCTATCTATCCACTATCTCTGTCCTCCGCTGGTTTCGTTTAAACCTCCCTTAAACCCTCTAAATCCCTTCTCTTCCACAATCTTATGTTATTGCCTTCAAACCCATTACAATATGCAAATTTCTATGGCCATTTCGCCACTCACACCTCCTCAATTGTTTCCATTTCATCAACCCATTTTCCACACACCCAAACCTCATGGATTTGCTTTCCAAACCCATGTCAATCCTCTAAACTCCTTCACAGATTCCGGTCTTTTATCCACAATCGGCGTCGAGGAAGAGTACCGGAGGGCGCGGTCACAGGTTAATCGGAAGGGGGTGGACTTGGAAGGCTACTCAATCGAGGGAATTTCAGTTGGTGGCCAAGAAACTTGTGTTATTGTTCCTGAATTCAAGTGTGCATTTGATATTGGGAGGTGCCCATCTCGAGCCATTCAGCAGAACTTTGTATTTATCACTCACGCCCACCTTGATCACATTGTAAGCTTCTTTACCTGAACCACTGAACCCTATCCGCTTCTATATCATTGACATAACTTCACTTTAGGTTTTTAAGTTACTCCTCATTTCGGTTAAGTATGTACTATTTGTGGGAACCGAGAACCAGATTTCTTCAAGAATGGTAAACTATTTCTTTATCCAATATCCAAAACTATTGTTGTAGATATTTTATGGGCTGGGGGTAGAGCCTAATCAGCTAATTAGTAACAATTAGGAGCCTAACATACCTACTAACTAGGACAATAACTGTAAATTGGATCCCTTTTAAAAAATGAGTAACAATTGCGATTTGAGCAATGGAGCTCTTTTTTGTAATTCTGTAATTTGTTTTTTTTTTGCTCCTTTTTATCCTGGGTT